TTAGGGTTTAGGGTTTCGGGACTTAGTAGCTAAGGCTACGTTTTTAAGGATCCCTTTAAGGGGTCTATAGGGGTACTGCAAGGGTTTATGGTTCTTGGGGGTCTCTAGGATCACGGGCCTTAGTAACTAGCTTATAAACAAGGTACATTCTAATGCACTTATAACTTATAACTACTTATAGCCCCAATTAACATTACTTGCTAAGTCCCATGATCCTCCAAGTACGCCTAAACCATCGAAGCGCACCCTTCCATGGACAAGGAGCTACTATGCCGCTCATATACCCGCCATCGTCTCTCTTGGCAGCTGCGCAGGGGCTTAGTGATGTATTCAACCCTAAACCCAAAGCCCTAAGCCTTTAACCCTGAACCCTAAACTCTAAACCCAAAGCCCTAAACCCTAAGCCCCAAGCCCTAAGCCCTAAACCCGAAGTGTTTCAGGCTCAGGGTTTCGGGTTAGGGAGGTGCTGAATGCCGATGCCGACGGCTTAGCCGGAGGGTCGGGGGGCTTGGCAAGTAATATAGGGGCCTAAATACGTACCAGCACTATTTTGGGGGGTTCCTTTTTTTTCCTATAGTATAGTGGGCCCCAAAAGCCTATTCTAATTATTCAGGCTCCTATATTAGGTAAGATGTGGACTTTATAGGCATGCTGCCCAGGATCCTAACTGCACTTTTATGTCCCTAACACAACTACTTACTAGCCCTAAACCCTTAACCCTCCGAGCACCAACAGCCCTATCGAGACGCCTCTTCGCCGCTGCAACTTTACATACAGGTTGAAGCAAGGCTTCCACACTTAGCGATCGTCCTGAGCAGGGCTCCCCCAGTATTATCGTACTAGAATTCGGTTTAGGGTTTAGGGTTGCTATAACCCTAGGGCCCTCCGGGTCCAAAGGACCCAATACTTAGGTACTTAGATTTCGGATAGTGGTTATCCGGCTGCTATTTGGGAGAGGGTATGATTGTTGGGCACTTGGACCCGTAGGGTAGCCTCCCCGAACCGCGAAATCTGATGATGACAATGCCAAACGCTCTGGACGTCCTGCCTGACTCACTGCTCCAAGTTGCTCCGGATCCTTGTCTCCAAGGGCAAGTCTTCGAGCCAGATCCTGGAGATGCTGTGCAGCTCCTCGATCGACAGGGCCCACCAAGCAAGCCCGAAAGCCAGAGCTCTCCGTGTCTTCTGCGCCGATTTGGCCGGGGAGAACACGCAGAAACTTTGGCAAGGCACCTGGGTTTTGGCCCAGCAACGTGTCCAGAGAGGTGGGATGCACGCTTGGAGACGATGAAGAAACTGACTGCCAAGGACCACTTTTAAATCGAACCCTAAACCCTAAACCCTAAACCCTAAACCCTGAACCCTAAACCCTAAACCCTAAACCCTAAAATGGCCGCTCCAAGTCGTGGCGGACTTACCTCAAGACAAGGGTGGGCGACTCCGACTGCCACAGCTTCTCTAGTCATTTGCAATTAGGGTTTAGGGTTTAGGGTTTAGGGTTTAGGGTTTAGGGTTTAGGGATGAGAGCCCCATTCCTCGTTGTGAAGGCCCCATATGGACCCTAAATCCCGAAACGCCTAAAAACCCCTATACCCTGAACCCTAAACTCCCTAAACCCTTGGGTTTAGGGTTTAGGGTTTAGGGTTCAGGGTTCAGGGTTCAGGGTTTAGGGTTTAGGGTTTAGGGTTTAGGGTCTAGGGTGCCCTTAGTGATCCCGGTATAAGGAACCCTTATGGCCGTTATGGAACCCTTTCAAAGGGGACCCTATTGCAGAACCCTGTGCCCTTTAAAGGGGACACTATTATTATAGATCCCTGTACCCTTTTTAAAGGGGACCCTATTATAGAACCCTGTACCCTCCAAGGGGGACCCTATTGTAGAACCTGCACCCTTTACAGGGGACCCTATTATAGAACCCCTGTCGGACACATGCGCCCCTAAACCCTAAACCCTAAACCCTAAACCCTTTATAGGACCCTTTAAAGGGGACCCTATCATAGAACCCCGATCAGACACATGCGGAGGACCTTCGGCCTCTGCTCTTTGGGAACGCGTTTACCGCCGAGGAAGCGCAGAAGGAGATGACCGATGTCGGAAGGGTTTAGGGGGTTTAGGGTGTAGGGTTTAGGGTTTAGGATTTAGGGTTTAGGGTTTAGGGTTTAGGGGGTTGAGGGTGAATTGCTTAGTATGGATGAGAAATGTTAGGATCTCTGCGGGATGCATTAGGTCGGTATTCAGGATTTTCAGAGGGATCTGGGGTGTTTTAGAGATGTTTAGGGTAGTGATGCATAGGGAATCTTGGTCTCCCTTATAGGTTTCTGAGGGCGTTTTATCGTGGTTTAATGTTCAGATTTGATGTTGCAGGAGTGGGGTGTAGGATCTGCTTAGGGTTTAGTTTCCTTACAAGTGGGTTTAGGGTTTAGGGGTTTAGGGTTTAGGGTTTAGGGTTTAGGGTTTGTGTGTGTAGGACAGGTTTACTTCTATTACATCGGCCTCTAAAGTCGCAACTAGACCTAGTGCGGATGGACCGGTGTATGCATGACACTGAGTCCCAACTACGGGATTTGTAGCATATTCCTTCTGATGCATAATGCCCCAAAGCCCCCGAAACCCTAAATCCTAGATCCTAAACCCTAAACCTCAAACCCGAAACCCTAAACCCTAAATCCCTCTAAACCCGGAACCCTAAACCCCTAAAATTCGAAACCCTAAACCCTAAACCCTACAGAGCCCCTCAGACCCAGCAAAAGCCCATAGAACCCTATGCAAAATCATGAGGCCGGCCGGTTGAGGCCCTGAAAAAACTAAGCGCAACAGCCTGACGGGGAGCTCCCTCTGAAGCTTTTAGGGTTTAGGGTTTAGGGTTTAGGGTTTAGGGTTTAGGGTTTTAGGGTTTAGGGTTTAGGGTTTAGGGTTTAGGGTTTAGGGTTTAGGGCTTAGGGCTTAGGGCTTACTTAAAGGATCATGGGACCTAGTAACTGAGGTTATAAACAAGGTAACTATACCTATAACTCCAATTAGGGTACTTATAACCCTACTTGCTAAGTCCCAAGATCCTCCAACTGGGGTTTAGGGCGTAGGGCTTAGGGCAGGCCCCGAGGCTGATGGTTTAGGATTTTTTGCCCGGACCGCAGAGCCTTGCTTGGAGGATCTTGGGACTTAGCAAGGAGGGTTATAAGTACCCTAATTGGGGTTATAAGTTTAGTACCCTTGTTTATATCCTCGGTTACTAGGTCCCATGATCCTTTAAGTAAGCAGTACAGCTGAGAAGCGGCTCATGTGGCAAAGCCCGCCATCATCCACGGCAGGGAATACTTGGAGGATCTTGGGACTTAGTAAGTAGGGTTATAAGTACCATAATTGGGGTTGTAAGTAATTATAAGTATAGTTACCTTATTTATAACCTCAGTTACTAAGTCCCATGATCCTTTAAGTATGTGGTAATTGAATTAAGCCCCAAAATCCCATTTGCCAAACCCTAAACTTCAAAGCTCTTGACGCCCTCCCCAATTTGGCTACAGAAGGAGTTCGAGAAGCCTTCCGCCGCGGGCTAAGCGCGATGTGAAGTGTTGAGTAAGCCTATGCAGCCAATATCAATATCTGCAAAAACGTGGCATGCTCTTTGCGCTCTAGATATCCGCTTGCTCGAATCGATTGAGATATTCATGTTGGGTTTTGGGGTTGAGAGAATAGAGTTTAGTTTCGATTTTAGGTCCAGGGTATTTGGGGTATTTCCGGGTTTGGGGTTTAGTGGTCCACACAGACAAAATGGCTAGTCTAGCTGCTGGTGAAATTAATTCGGCTATGGCGAGACCCTCGCCCCTGGCACTGAAACGAGGTCTTGCAGCCAGCCCTCTTCGTGGTGGAATATGCCCGGCAGCCAGCATATTCCTGGCGTCTAGTCTGTGGCCGGTTTGGGCAACTAGGGCTTCAGGGTTTCAGGATTAAACGTGAGGGTTCAGGCTAGGAGTCAGATACGAGGCCTGAATTACTTAGGAGCACTATTCCGTAGGGTTCGTTGTTGTACGTATGCTACAATATATCCCGAAACCCTAAACCCAAAGCCCTTGAACCCTAA